AAAAACTGTCGCGAACTCGAAGCTGTCAGCAGTGGTTTACGGGTTATTTACAATGAAATATTCATTATAAAGCAATAACTGTGGGATGTCATAGGATTTCAGTCTGTGTGGTGATACTGGCATTGTGCACGTTGTGCCCTGTTTACTGCCGGCTGTTTTCCGAAGTCAATGGCGTGCCTGCCCGTCTAGTTGATGAGGTAAGCAGCAGGACCGTGGTGCTAAGAATATGTGGTGTCCGGGTGAAATATGACACATTCTTAACGGAAGACTCCATTGAAAGCACTTCATTCTGAGAATTTACTCGTGTACATTGAGGCAATATCTATTAAATCAATGGTTAAAACTAGGTGGAATAGGTGGTCTTACCAGACTACGAAAAGTTTGTGGTGTAGTGTTAAAGACGCGTATAAATTGGTGACATTTCCTTAAAAGAACATGATCTCAACGTTAGCGTGTCAGAAATTATGACATAAAACAGTGTCGACCATTATTTCAATATTTAATTACTTGACCGACTGAGTTATTAGTAATAAATAACAAATTAGCGTGTATATCTCGCAGATATACATTAATAATATGTAAAAACAGAAGATAATGGCTAATATGCTAATCAGGACTCTACATATCGTACAAGATTACATATTGGCAACCAGATACCTGTTGGTGTTGTGACATGACTACTAAACAGTTAGCTTGTGCTGAAATTTATGGCTTCTCAGTGTGAAATAGATCAAAGCGACAAGGTATATGGCCGGAAGGGTATTGAAAGTGCGACGTCATCAGCAAGGTCCTTTGCCAATGCTGTTCTCTGTATAGATGAGCTAGCAATGCATTTATGGTTGGAGAGTATTCAACATCCTCTAGCATAAAGTTATTACGACTGTATACACGACATTTACCCGTCAAGTGTTTAATAATGGATAAATAATATTCAAAGGGATATATATAAGATTAAAGATAAGTTAAAAGTGGTTAGACATATTGCCACCACAAGGCTGTGATCAGCTGTGATAAGACAGTTTGATCTTGCGCCAACGAAATAGAAAAGCTCCGGTAGACAGTGCTTTAGGCGAGAAGCAAGGAATATCAATTTCCCATACTTCCTCCTGAGAATGGTGTAAATGATCGATTTCTAGAACGTAAGAATCGAA